TTTCAACATTCAATTCAACCAAAATCTTAAGGTTTGGGTTGTCATCTGCTCGTTTCAGTGTCAAATCTAATAGCAATATCTGAGTTCGTCGCTTTGCTGAAATTTAGTAACTTAGGACGCGCAAGCATTCACGAAAACTAATAAGCACTCTCTGCTTGATATTCGAATTGAATATCAGCAGTCGAACGATTTCATTAAAACCGATGCCATGCCGTAAGTGAATTCTGTTTAACGTAGATGGATTCACAGGGATTGCAAGAAGGAAAAGCTGTTATATAGTAAAATTAATCACAGGGCGGAAATGGCAGTTTTGTTTATTCCATAAAATTTTTATTAGGTATTCACATAACGTCGCTTTTTCATAGGCTTTAGAGGTGCAACAACCGGTTATTTTTATGTAACAGCTTATAACGTTCCAGTTTTACTTTGGTAATATGTTCCGAAATGCGGCACCAAAAAAACATGTTATTTTTTCAATTTTGCCTTAAAAGCTAAAAATGCTCAATAATGATGATAGTAGAGATAGTGATGATAAATAATTCTTTACTTTATTAAAAAATATACTCTTAATATTGATGAACTTAAAATAAAATGTTATAAAGTAAATACGAAATCATGGGTCATAGGTAACTGTTCCGTTTTAACGATTGAACCACGGTGACCGACCCCCTAGTGTGCACCACGGGCACTAGCGAAGTGTGCGATAAATTAAAAAGAACCAAAAAGAGTCGAAAGCTAGAGTCAAAGAAAAGAAGTCGAACATTAGATATAGTCGAACTTATGTCGCCGTGCAGACAACGGACTACCATCCAAAAAAAAATACGTGTCAAATCTGAGTTTGAGTGATTAAATATACTGATTTAAATAAAAGTGTTTACAGTCCACTAACCAAAAATCAAACAATCGCACAAACAGTAAGTACTTAAGGAACAAAAAAACTGACAATAAACTAGAGTGGATTAAATAAAATATACGGTTTACATGCGGAAATGTTTAATTTTAATTATTAAGCATAATGCATTCTCGTGGTGTGCAGATAAATGAACTTGCCCTGAACATAACTAGTTCAATGAATTAAGGTTATAAGGGCCACTGGCTGTACATCTAAATATGCTGTTCTCTGTTGTCAGAGAATGACATAGGATTTACTTATTGTTTAGCGGACAGATTGTAAATGTACTTGGTAAATAAGTAAAAAAAAATTATTAAGCTAATTTTTCTTCAAAAATTAATTAACATTTGAGAACAAAATTGTTTGCAGATGCTTTTTACTGAGTCTATTTCTTCGCTCGTTTATGATAGCACTCGCTTTAGAAAATAACATCTCGCAACAATAGCGAATCTTTGTTTCTGAAACGGTCATTGATATATAAGTATACAGGGTGATTTTTTTTTTATTTCTAGAAGATATTAACAGTTGAAGATCGAATTTCAACTTTGTTATTAAGCATTATTTTGAAATGGTTCAATGTTTAATTGGTAGCATATTGGAATACTTAAGCATTCAAAAAGAAAAATTACGATCTTTACTTCAAATTACGAAAATGTTTGATATCAAAAAAGCTCTCTTCCACAATTTTTTGATGAAAAGGCACAGCGGCAATAATATTTTTTGTTATTAACAGATAGTTACAGGTGGATAGCCCTTGCCAATAAAAACAATAATTTGTCAAACTCTGACTTACTTTGAATTTCCTTTCACAAATTTGCGGATATGCGATTAGTTCAGGGGAAATGCTACAGTAAGACAGCAGAACCTGAATGAACTCAAGCCAACAAAGGGCGAGGAGAGTGGTCCCAGGAACATAGTGGACGATAGATGTTCGGGTTCCAGGCACAGAGAAACAAGTATTGAACATAACCGAATCAGGGCCTTCCAGAGGCACTCAGAGCACAATAACTGACACTTTCCCAAGCACCAAATAAATACCGAGCGCTACATTCCTACCACATTTGTACGATACACACAACACAAGGAGATACAAATGGAGCAGGAGTTAATTAACTGAATACGAGAAGCTGCTTGATAAGAGTGGATAATAAGGAGATTATACAGGCACTAGCTTGTTTGGAGTTAACCATTCAAATGTTTGGTGTCGTAGGGTTTATTTATTACTTATTATTAAACACCCATATTCGCGGTTATGAGAACAGGTTGACATTTCGTCAACAAATCTTGTTGAATTTACCGTTTATCCTTGTCTATCTTATTGTCAGTCTGTATAATTCCATGGT